TATTAAAAAAAAAAAAAAAGTTAACATCATGTATTTAAGAAAAAGCAAAATAAGCTGGTTAAAAATGTGTAGCAATAGTGATAATGTAGGCCTACATTTTAATTTAATGAAGGAGTCCTATAAATGTAAACAAAACAGAAAGGCTTTAGTGTATAAAAGGAAAAAAAAACTTTGGACAATTAGCTAAAGAAGAAATACCACTAGTTAATAATTACAGAGAAAGTGTTCACACTCTAATAATCAAATGCACTTAGATTAGATTTAAAAATTTTTTTTTAATGTTTATTTATTTTTGAGAGACAGAGTGTGAGCGATAGAGGAACAGAGAGAGAGGGAGACACAAAATCTGAAGCAGGCTCCAGGCTTTGAGCTGTCAGCACAGAGCCAAAGTTGGACACTTAATCTACTGAGCAACCCAGACTCCCCTCAATTTTTTGTAAAAAGAAGCATTTTTTACTTCCAAACTAGCAAAAAAGAGAAATTAAAATTAGATAACAACATACTGGTGACTCTATGTGGGGAGAAATTTATGCCAGAGAAATAATCCTAAAATTTTCATACAAATGTATTACTTGTAGCATTAATGGTAAGATCTCAATTTTGGAAAAAATCAATCGTATCCAACAGTTGGGCAAACTCACTGCATGGAGTTATATAGTTACTATTATGCAATTACTTTTAAATGATGTTTAAAGTAATTCTATAAACAACATGTAAATGGTTATAAGAGTAAACAAAAGGCATTACTGGTTAATAAAAATATTTAAATTTGTCTAAATTAATTGTTAATTAGAGAAACAAACATTTTTTTAAATTTCCTTTAAATTTATTTCTAGGAGAGAGAGAGAGAGAGACGGCGTGAGCAGGGGAGGGTCAGAGAGAGAGGGAGACACAGACTGAAACAGGTTCCAGGCTCTGAGCTGGCAGTCAGCACAGAGCCTGACGCGGGGCTTGAACCCACGAACCGCGAGATCATGACCTAAGGGAAAGTCGGACGCTTAACCGACGAAGCCACCCAGGCGCTCTGGCACTTGAAAAATTTTGTACCACTTCCTCTGTCCTCTAGGCGCCCCTAGAGAAACAAACATTTAAACACAATGACATATCACTATGCACCCAGCAGATTGGCTAAAATTAAAGAGACCAAAAATACCAAACATGAATGAGAATGTGGCACAAGAACTCTCATGCATAGCTTATAGGGTTCAAGTCGAAGATAGGCATACCCAATGATCCAATAATTCCATTCATAGGTCTAGAACCCAGGGAAACTCCTGCTCATGAGCACCAGAGTACAAGAATGTACAAGAAAGCTTATAGCAGCAGTACTGGGAATAGCCTGAAACTAGAAATTTCCAACACCAGTGGGATGACTAAACTGTGGATTTCTTGCGCAGTGAGACAGAACACAATAAAATGAACAAAAGACAGCTAAACATCACAACATAGCTTATTTTCACAAACATAATGTTGAATGAAAGAAGCAAGTCATAGAAGAATATGCGTTTATTACTTCATGTACATAAAGTTCAAAAAAATGAAACTGTCTTGTCTAGAGATATATACAAAGGTGGCAAAACTCTAAAGAAATGCATAATCGATTCCTCTGGCAATGGAGAAAGATAGTAGGAAAGTGGAGGTCTTCTCTGGCTCTGGGGCGTGTTTCATTTCTTGACCTGGGGTATGATTCTGTGGGTGACGGCTTTACAATATTTTTACAACATATATCTTTATATATTATGTAATGCATGTTTTATGTTATGGGTTGACTTGTATCCCCCCCTTCCCCAAAAGAAGATACACTAAAATCTTGGAGTGTAAGTAACTTTTTCTGTGAGGGTTTTGCAAGATGAGCAAACATTTCTAATAAATTTTAACTTGATAAACGAGTGATGTCTTGTAGTAGGAGTAGTACGTGACGCCAAATGTCACATGATCACAACTGAGCCAATGATTCTTGAAATTCACTTTGATATATGAGTGCTTTGGATTACAAGTATGTTTCTGGAACCAATTATGCTTGCAAACCAAGGTTTCACTGTATGTTGCAGTGCCAATCCCCAATACTTCAGCGTGTGATCTTGTTTGGAAATAGGGTTGTTGCAAATGTAGTTAGCTGAGTAGGAGCAGGATGTGACCCCACCGCAGCGTGGGTGGCGCCCTCACAAGAAGCCAGCCCTGTGGAAATACAGACGCACACCCAAGGCCGTGAGAAGATGGAGACAGACATTGGAGTGATACACCTATAAACCAAGGAATGCCAAAGACTGACAAGCCATCCCCAGGAGCCGGGACACAGGCATGAGACAGAGTCTCCCTTAAAGCCCTCAGAAGGAGCCGACCCTGCCCACATCTTAATTCAGACTTTCAGTCTCCAGAACTGTGAACACATTTCCATTGTTTTAAGCAACCTACTTTGTGGTGCTTTGTTATTACGGAGGAGCTAGGAAACTAACACATTGTGTTTGCTTGCTTTTTTTTTTTTTTTCAAGGTTTATTTATTTGTTTTTGAAAGAAAATGAGAGAGAGAGAGAGAGAGAAAGAGAGCACAAGCGGGGAAGTGGCAAACAAAGAGAGGAAGTCACAGAATCCGAAGCAGTTTCCGGGCTCCGAGCTGTCATCACAGAGCCCGCCACGAGGCTCAAACTCACGAACCGTGAGACCGTGACCTGAGCTGAAGTCAGACGCTCAGTCAAGTGAGCCGTGCAGGCACCCCCACATTGTATTTTCACATTAGGAATATTTGTTAAAAGGGCCCAGGAATTTGTATTTATGGTGTCTAATTTCTGAATAAATCACAAGATCTAAAATAAAAAAGTACTCAAGTCATCCTACTTTATATATTTTCTGGAAAAGTTACTCAAAGATACAATTCAAATATAAAAAATAAAGATCAATTCAGAAAAGAAAACTATGCAGCATATCTAGTTGTACCAACAGGTCAAGGATCAACTGTAAATGTCCAAGTACATTAAAAAATAAAGGATGTGGTTTGTTCCACGTTGGCCTGTAAAATTTTCATCCTGACCCTTTGATTCCTTTCCTTACTGGAAATTCTCCAGTGTCTGAAGTGACCTCGCATTTGGCTTCTGGGAAGACATTCTTATTCATTCCATTTCTCTACAGAGCAAAGAAGGGCTGACCTGAAAAGACACCTGACCCAGAATTTCTCGGGGGTGGAATACTGATGAACACAGATGGCTCTGTGCAAGACCGTCTTCAGTTAGAATTCTGCTTTCTGCAAGTTGGGAGTACGCACAGCCTCAGAGTTTATAGAACAATGTGCTCCCAGAGATCTCGCTGGGGGGTTGATTTTGTATAGGATACTGAACATGTTTGTGGAAATATTGCCTTTCTCAAGCAGGTTCCACGCGACCAGAGGATGTCATAAAAAGGAGGCATAAAGGAGCAATATGTAGAAAACCGATTTTTTAAAAATTAGCAAAATGCAATGTGATTTCTCTACTACTTTCAACTTTTCAAGTACCAAAAGAGCAACGCACAGAAAAGACATCTTCTACAAAAATGCGGTAGAATGGGATAGTAGTAAGAGATTTTGAAGCCAGGCTGTTTGCTTTCAAATCTCTGCTCTATTGCTTCTTAGCTTGATGGAGTTATTAGCCTCTCTAAGTACAAATTTCTTCATCTGTAAAATTAGGATAAAAATTGCACCTATTGCAAAGGGTTGCTAAAAAGATTTAACAAGGCACTATATGGAAAGCATTTAGCTCAGAACAATGCACATGGTAAGTGCATAATAAATATTAGTTGCTGAAATAATAATAATAATAGCAATAGTAATAATAATACCTTTTCATATTTGTACTTGAAGTAGCTATAAAAACTTCCCGTAGAATTGATTATAGAGTAGGCCCCCAGGGGTCCTTGCGTTCACCCCATTAAATTAGGCAGAGAAGGAAAATTTCAGGTTCTTAAGTTGACCATTTTAGTACTTAACATTCTCTATCAGAAAAATAAAATTCACTTCAGTTTCCTGGTGTGTTGGATAAGTGGGTTTGGTTAAATAATTTCTGTGGGGCTTTCCAAATACTACAAATTTGTATTTCTAACAGCCATTATCAACCATAAACCAAATATGTCTTGAAGTCACCGTCTTTCTTTCATTGAGTATTTCTATTATTCTGGCTTCTACCCCTTTCCAAGCAAAATATGACCTTTCGGCTAGTTTGGTGGTCACTGTGTGTATTTTGTTTTTCCACAGTTGTACTCCAAAGGGGCCTTACACTTGGGTGGGTACCTGCTGTTTTCGGTCAGAGTTGGGCAAGCTCCTAACACTAAAGTTTGCTTGGACCAAACTTTCAGGTTTCTCAGCTTTGAAAGAGAAAAACACGATTTTGTGAAATATTCAAAGAAATTGATGGTTTTTAAAGCCAACTGTCTGAGCTTCAAAGGTATCTTTTCACTTATATTTGCTATTTTATCGACAAAAGCTAGTTAGTTATAGGGATCACTCTGTCCTTCCCAATCCACCTGCAGGTAAGAATTACAACCCAGGGGGGCTCCTGGGTGGCTTAGTCGGTTGGGCGTCTGACTTTCGCTTAGGTCATGATCTCGCCGTTCGTGGGTTCGAGCCCCGCGTCGGGCTCTGTGCTGACTGCCAGCTCAGAGCCCGGAGCCTGTTTCAGAGTCTGTGTCTCCCTCTCTCTCTGACCCTCCCCTGCTCACGCTCTCTCTCTCTCTCCTAGAAATAAATAAAACATTAAAAAAAAAAAAAAAAAGAATTACAACCCAGGGAGCTGCGCTCCAGCTTTCCCGCGGAAATCCTCCCTTCTCTCCCTACCCCTACCCAACCCCGATACATTTGCTGGCTGTCCAGGAGATGTCACTCTTGTTTCAAACGCCTGGCTTCCCTGGGGATCAACAAGTAAACCCTGGAAAGACCGGATCACGAGGTGGCTGGGGAGGGGGTGGGGTCTTGAACTTGGGGAACAATGGCAAAATATGTTTGAGTAATTGTCTTTCTCAATCTCCCTTTCTAGGGGCCAACGTGAACATGAAGACGAACAACCAGGATGAGGAGACACCCTTGCACACAGCTGCCCACTTCGGCCTCCCGGAGCTGGTGGCCTTCTATGTAGAGCACGGGGCCATCGTGGACAGCGTGAACGCCCACATGGAGACCCCGCTGGCTATCGCCACCTACTGGGCCCTCCGCTTTAAAGAGCAGGAGTACAGCAGGGATCACCACCTCATCTGCCGCATGCTTCTCGACTACAAGGCCGAGGTCAACGCCAGGGATGACGACTTCAAATCTCCGCTGCACAAGGCAGCCTGGAACTGTGACCACGTGCTCATGCACATGATGCTGGAGGCCGGCGCCGAAGCCAATCTCATGGATATCAACGGCTGCGCTGCCATTCAGTACGTGCTGAAGGTCACCTCTGTGCGCCCAGCTGCCCAGCCTGAGATCTGCTACCAACTACTGTTGAACCATGGGGCTGCTCGAATATACCCTCCACAGTTCCACAAGGTGAGGTTGTGTTCTAAGGTGCCAGGTAGAGAAGAGGGTAGTCAGCAGGTCCCCGGAGACTCCAAGGGTGGCTTGTTCTCAACTCACTTTACTGTGAATAATAATAGCCTTCTCTGGGCACCGGGGTGGCTCAGTCGGTTAAATGCCTCATTCTGGGCTTTGGCTCAAGTCATGACCCTGTGGTTCATGAATTCAAGCCCCGTGTTGGGATCCGTGCTGATGGTGCGGAGTCTGCTTGTGATTCTCTCTCTCTCTCTCTCTCTCTCCCTCTCTCTCTCTGCCCCTCTCCTGTTCACTCTGTCTCTCTCAAAATAAATACCTAAAAGTAAACAATTAAAAAAAAATAATAGCGTTCTCCTAAGTTTATTTTGAGAATTAAATGATAATATTTGAGAAGTGTTGGCATGGTGCCAGGGCTGGGGTAACCATGAAAGAAGTGATGGCTATCACTATCGCTATTATTATATATTTCTTGATCAGTAGAATCAGGGCTCCGGGCCTGGTTTACCCACAGGGGCCTCTCCAACCAGGAGAGACGATGTGTGAGACAGTCCAGAGATTTTTAGTTGACACTCACTGCTGGTTGAGAGTGGATGAACCACGTCTCTGCAAAAGTAACTAGAATGCCCTCTTCTCATTCCCCCTTGAGAGCCAGATTAAGGAGAACGGGCCTTCCCGTGGAGCTTCTCTTCTCCAGCGAGAAGTCTTGCGAATGCGAAGAGCATCCCTTTCTTTTCACAAAGGCACTCCTCTGAGAGGTGACAGTGAGGAGGGTTAGAGGCAGAGGCTTGGTGATGAGTCTTGGCTTGGCCGTTAACTTGCTGTATGACGTTTGAACAAGTCCTTGATCTCTCATATCTCAATGTCCCCATCTGAAAAATGAAGGTAAAAATTCAACTTTGCAAAAAAGTTTCAGGAATAAGTAAGATATGTTAACCATCCAGCCCCTTAGTGGTACTCAACAAAATGATTTCCTTTGGTCTTCCTCCTCCCAAAATGCACGCTGGGTCTATTGTGGGAGTCTGTCTTCCCAGCCTAACTTTGGTGACTCCAGCAGCCTGTAAAATAGGTGTACGATGATGTGTTCCAAGGACATTATCCAGAGTTAGCATGTTCTTCGTTGTGTTTCACTACTCTGAGTTCCTCCAGTTTGGCCATATGCTAAAGAGATTTAGGTTAGAATTGGCTACCAGTTCAAGACTTGTATTATAAACATTTTTGTTGCTACCCAACAGACAGTGTGAGAGCACTGGCCCCCTTCCAAAGGAAAACTACAGAAAAACTATTCAATTTACTATGCAGATGCTTCAAAGTGATTTAGCACAACTACTCCACAGCCCGACTTTCCAAAGAGTCATCTTTACGACAAGTAAATGACTGACTCATTTATCCAGAAGATAAAGTGATTTGTTCTCTTGTGGATGGGGAATTCAGTTTCCTTATTTACAAGGAACAAGGTCAGAGCTGAAGATGCTGTCTTCCAAATACAAAGCAAATTTGTAGAGGGTGTATTTCACTGAAAGCCAATGTATAAATTACATAAGGGGGAAAAAGAATTATAGGGTCTGCAATTGCTTTCCAGGGTACAAAAGGACATTTGATTTTTTTTCTCTCAGCATAATTCAGAAGGAAGTGACACCCCAGGGAGCCAAGATTGGGTTTTCTTGTAGGGCAAGAAAGACATTTTTCCAGGGGAGGGAAAGGTACGGGAGGGTTTGGGAGAGGAAAGGATGATTCCTGCCATTGAACAAGGCTGCAAATGAAGCCCAGAATACAACCAGGTTTTTTGATCATTAAGTACTTTTCTGCACAGATGTATCAACATAAAAGGGCAGAGGTAGTCTGTTTCTCTGCTGACGTGGCTTACAGAGGTGGCACTTGTAGGGGAAGGGTGGCAGGAAGATGTATCTTGACTCTGGTTTTTAATCTGTGCTTTCAGGAGTCAGATGATGAGGGCAAGTATCTAAAGGTGTCTCTAATTGCCACCAGCATGGGAAGAAATTGTTGTCCAGTTGTTCTTCCATGAAGAGAGAACAGAGACCCCAGAGGCAGAAAGTGAAGTGCATTGGGCGTCTTCTGGTTTTCCAGGCTAAGGAAGGAGCGGAAGCTTCTCCCTTTCGGTCCCCAACAATCCTTTCTCATTTGATGGTCAAGGTTCCTGGGAGTCCGTGTATTGCGATGATTTGGGGTTTGCTGTCTCTTAAGGATCTTTTTCGTTGTTGTCTCCTGTGTAATAATTATTGAGGCCTGAAGATGGTGTGTCCAACTGTCTTAGTTCTGGAAGAAGCCTGGTGTGCCAGTGAAGGGAGCTGGGAAGCTGTCAGGCTCCTCAGAGGAGCGTTTCCTGCTGTGAGAACCAACCATCTCCTGTCAGCAGAAAACTCAGTGGTCAGTGTCAGTGAAACCTAAGGACAGCAGTGGGAGTTTTGGACTTTGTGCATTGAAATACTGCAGGTTAAGAACTACTTAAGTTTTTTTTAGCCTCATGAAAGGTGGCAAGTTATCTCCCTGTGATATATGGAAGTATGCCAGGTGCAAATTGAGGCACCAGATGTGTGAAGTAGTCTCCTGAACTATGAATGGATAATGTTCTTGTGGCCATAACTTAGTTGGAACTTTTTCTGAACAGGGGCTTTGAATAGCGTTGCCGAAAAAACATAGGACTCTTAGTTAAATCTGAATTTTAGGTATTTAATAAGTAGTCATTAATATAAACAAGTTTTTAATACCTTTAACATAAAAGGTATATGATAAGCAATATTTGGGACATGGCTACACTACAAATTCTGCACTACCGATCTGAAATTCAAATTTAACCTGGCAGTCTGTATTACTATCATTTGTTCAGTCTGCAAACCCTAGTCAGGAAGTAGGTAATGTGTTGCAAGATGTTGATCATTTGTGATCAAGGTGTTGGCAGAAGGGGAAAGTAAGGAATATCTGGGGACAAATTACCTGTGTCGGGTTTGTGAGCAGTTTGTCTTTAAATATAACCAGTGTGGCTCCCATGCACGTAGAGTGAGTGCGCCCAGGGAATTAATGCAGAGCAGAGGCCAGGTTTCTGAGTGAACCCTTAAACCTGTGCAGAGCCTCATTACAAGTGTCTCATTTCTCCAAACTTTTATACTTTTTGTTTTTACAATTCCAGTATATTTTTGAGTCAAGCCTTGGGTTAATTTTCAGCTATCGTCTCTGTACTAGTAACTCTTACACTTAATCTGTGTTTAGGATTAGCAACTGGTTCTCACCACGGATCATCCTTTCCGAAAGGATTTGTCTGGAGGGCTTTCGAAAAGGATGTATATGGAGTTCCAGATAGTTGCCATTTTTATGTTAGCAGCAACATCTTTACGTTTAAAAGAGAATGAGTTTGAAATTTCAACAAAATTCAGCCTAACATAATTACAGTAAAGAGTGTTTCTTGTTTCAAAATATCAGTGCAATGAGATTTGTGTCCTTAAACTATTAATTTCACTGGCCATTATCTAAAATTTGAAATAAGGTAATCAGAATATATTTGAAAGAGCACTAAACTCAGATTAAGAAGACCTGAGATTAAGTTCTCATGCTTCCTCTTACTATGTACCTCTCTGGTTTCAGTTTTCTCTTCTCCAGATTGGGGGCGGGTGTGTTGAATAATCTTTAGGGTCTCTTGGGACTCCAACATTCTATGATGCTGTGTTAGGAGTTTATAACAAGTGTAAAGATTAAACTTGTCAGCCTCAGGTGCTGTCGGTGTCTTTCACCTGGAATTGCCAACCTCATCCCAGCTGGAGAGAAAAGAGCAGCCCCATTTGCTTCAATTTTCTAAGACCAGGATGCTGAAAAATTACTACCCTAACAGCCAAGTACTGAGATGGAAGTTCTTCTAGCTACACTTTTGTAGACATAAAAATAATGGCTCTTCAGAGGTCCTTTAGCAATGGCTCTCTGGCTTCAACCCTCCTCCTTACCCCGTTATGGGTTGATGATACAGGATTGCTCTTTACTTGTTTAGGCATGGCTGAAAAAGCCATGGTCGGCAGCTCAGCTTGGGGCACTCTGCCCAAAATATGTATGTGAGTGGTTCCTATGCATTAAGCAAGTATTTATGTTGTGTTCATTTGGACCCAGCCACTTTTACTGATTTAGAGCTTCAATAGATACTGTTAGTCTGTGGCCTATAACTGTGCTTTTTTTAAAATTTTCTCTTTTAATGTTTCATTTATTTTTGAGAGGAAGAGAGAGACAGCATAAGCAGGGGAGGGTCAGAGAGAGAGGAAGATACAGAATCTGAAGCAGGCTCCAGGCTCTGAGCTAGCTGTCAACACAGACCCCAACTTGGGGCTCGAACCCACAAACTATGAGATCATGACCTGAGCCGAAGATGGACTCTTAATCAACTGAGCCACAAAGGTGCCCCATAATTGTGCTTCTTAAATATGAGACAATTGAAAGCAACTGAATGCTGGAACTGCCTTGCCATGGCTTATGAGAGGTGACAATTTATCAGGAATTGTGCGAGCTGATTGTTAAGTACAGCCATTATTAAAAATTAAATAAAATAAACTTACAACAAATAAAGCATACTAAAAACAAAGATCATAGGTATTTAAAACACATTATTTCCTAATTATTTTCTTTATATTTGTTTAAAAAAATTTAATGTTTATTTATTTTTAAAAGAGAGAGCACAAGCATGGGAGGGACAGAGAGAGAGGCAGACACAGAATGCCAAGCAGGCTCCAGGCTTTGTGCTGTCAGCACAGAGCCCAGTGCAGGGCTCAAACTCATGAACCACGAGATCATGACCTGAGCTGAAGTCGGATGTTTAACTGACTGAGCCACCCACGTGCCCATCTTTATATTTCTTAAACATTTTACTCTACATATCAGTGCTCTTGATGTTATACGCATCTATTATATTTGTGTGGTAGAAATATTATATAATGATTTGTTACTGTCCATTTCTTACCAACCATCATTCAGTGACTTCAGGATAGTAGCTATGAATAGGCCATGACGGGAGTATTTACACCACAGAAATGAGCAAATTCTACTGACCAGACCTTGATTTGTTGCTTTGTTGATGTCCAGATCTAAGAAATTAATGGAGTGAATGGTACTAATACAGATTAAATTAAATATGTGGGGGCTCCTGTGTGGCTCAGTCGGTTTAGCGCCTGACTCTTGATTTGGACTCAGGTCATGATCTCAAGGTCATGGGATGGAGGTCTGTGCTAACAGTATGGAGCCTGCTTGGGATTCTCTCTCTCTCTGCCTGTCTCCTGCGCGTGCACTCCCTCTCTCTCAAAATAAAGAAATAAATTTTTTTACAAGTATGTAGCACCAAAAAGTGAGGAAATATGATTCTACTATTCAAAAACATTTATGCATTTCACCAAAAAATTACTCCTGTCATTGGTGAATGAGTTCCAATATTGTCTTCATTGTCTCATATTTGTGGAACAATCACTCTTTTGTATAATAAGAATATCAACATTCATATAAGAACTACATGTGCTCTTCAAGGGCAGACAGAGATTTTGACTATGAATGCAATTTAATGTCCATACAAAATTGATACAAAATCAGGGAAAGCATTCTCTGGGAACCAATTAGCTCTACAGAATTGGTTGGAAATAAAGAGTATTGGACATTTCATTATTCATAAATTGTGGGCTGCACATTATAGGTAAAAACTTATAATGCATTTTATGTACATATAAATATACACAGTTTTTTCCCCATTAAGCGTGTTATTGAACATCTTTTTGCATACCATTGACTCAAACCTCTTGAGGCTTATAACTTCTTGAGGGCCCTGGTTGGCCTGTTTGCTGGGGCTGACACAGTCTTCTGTTGAGGCCATGCCTCCTGATTTGAAACTGTGCTTCAATAAATTCTTTAAAAATCTGTCTTTCCTATAATTCCCACTCTGATGACCCTGCTTCGTCTCACCATGCTGTTGTTCCTGACTCCCGTTGGCTGTTGGAGCTGGGTTTTGATTTGTTATAAGAGAGAAGAACTGCCATCTTCTTTGTCCCATGTGTTTGTAAGGAAGTTCTGCTAAAATAACCCTCCCCCACCCACACCTCTGTCTCCAACCTTACTGTATTCTATTACCCTACTGGTGAGTTGGGAGGAGGAACTGAACTTGCTTAGCTGTGGCCTAGAGAATACCTGAATTCTTGGTCCTTACTTGTGGCAAGCTTCCAGAACACCCTCTTTACATCAGGCAGAGGCCTATAGTTAGGTGATGCAAATTTAATTTGGGGATCGAGTGTCAGGAAACTTGATGTGGCCACATACTTCAACATATGATATGTACATCAGTTTTATTAATAATAAAAATGTCATTCTGATCTCGATTGTCATCTTCATCTCACTTTTTAATAGGTTCTAAAGTCAGGAGAGAACGTTGTTTATGGGGTCTCTACAACCGTGTCTGTTATGACATCAAGGTCTCAAAAATGAGAATGGGTCAGCCCTAGTGACAACTGTGTATCCATCCTTTATCTGTCTCCCACAAGCTGATCCCTCCCTGTTTTAATCCACCCAACTCTTAGTGAACTGGCTTTCTAATCAGGTCTTGTGGTGGTAGCTAATCTGTCTTCCTCTCTCTAATCTTCATGGCTTTGGTGATAACCCGGCTTCAGAAGCTCTCCTAGCCTGATGACTTTCACTCTGAAAAGTCCAGTTTTCTTTTGACTTTTGGAGTCACACAGACCTGAGTTCGAATCCTAGCTCTGTCATGGACGACTAAATAACCTTGAGTTTAAACGTTCTGTCTTAGATTCTAAATCTGTAAAATGGGTATAAGTAAGGGCTAATCTCATAAGGTTGTTTGAAGACTGCACCAGGTAAATATGCAAAGATTTAACATAGTCCCTGGCACATAATAAGTCCTCAAAAAAATGATAACTATAACTTTTTTCCTTCTTCCTCTCTCCTGCCTATTAGGATTCCTCAAACTTTAGACTATGGCCCTCTACCATTTCCATTTATTCCCATTTAGAGCATTACTGAGCCACATGGCTTTCACCACCACATTCTTTAATGATGTACAAGTCTCTACCTCCATCTTGGCCTTTTCAGTGGAGTGCTATCATGCACAGTTTTGACTGACATTTAGACATCCATATGACATATCCTCCTGTCCGTGATGTGACCATTCCCCAATTAGTATACCCTTCCAACTTGTTCATTTCTGTCAGTGGTACTCCCATATGCCCTTGATCTCAATCTTGAAAGTTGCATTCTTTACTCCCCATTTCTGAGTTGTCATTAAGCCCTACTATTCTTTCTCAGAGCTTCAGTTATCATTCATTCTCAGGCCTGACAGTGAAGCTAGCTGAGAATCCATTTGGTACACCTCCATTCAGCCTCCTCACTGTTCTCTGCCCTTCGTCTCCTTGTTTTCTCCTTAGTGTTTTTGCTCATGATGCTCAAGGGACACTTGCTGATCTTTAAGTTAGTCTTTTATTATTTCCTGGCTTACATTGCTCTCTCTTTGAAATATGTATATCTTTTCTCTTCAACCAGGCTATAAACTCCTTGAAGACAAAAAACAGGTCATAAACTTCTCGGAATTACTGTCATACTGCTAAACACAGTGCTCAATAAAGGCCTCCTAATGGAATGAATTGATTGAATACAACCCTTTCTTGTTAAGAAAATGTAATAGCCTCCTATTGCCTGTGAAGTCAATCCCAAGCCCATCAGACTGGCAGTGCACATGGACCGTCAGCTGGCACTATCTTACCTGCTCTTAATATCAGCACTTTCCCGACATGGGCCCTACATTCGGGTGACCACACACATGCACACATGCACACACACACACGCGCACACACACACACTTGACATTAGATTGATAACCTTTCTGTTTCACTTCTGCCTGGGGCCTCAAGACAGTAGGTACTTAATAGCCCCCACTGAGAAATTCGGTGCTCTATCACTTATGACAAACTTGTAAAGGAGGTGGGGAAATCCAGTGTTGTGTTTGCCCGACAACAATAGGCTGAGGCTGAAAGGGACTGGGAAATCAGGGAGAACTCTCTGGATAAAGTTGTTTCAGCGAAGGCATGTCTCCCTTGTAATGGCAGCGATGGGGGATGCTTTTTCCTCATCTCACGTCCAGTGAAGAGGACTCCACAGTTTTCGGGAGTTTCAAGGGAGAAATGGAACCTATGTGTAACTCACGATGAGAAAATTTAAAGGTGAAAGTCTGCGGCTGGGCTGCTTGTCTGTTGGCAAAGAAAGAAAGGTCAATAAATTCAGAGTCAAGAGTACTTTTGCTACAGCCTGCCTATGGACCAGTTGTGGGACACGTTGCAGAACTAGTTGGGTCCCTTTGAAATGAAAATAGGCCACACTCAAAAGACTTCCAGAGATAGGACCAATTTGCAGAGAGAAGCTGGAGGCGTTCAGGTGGACGCAGAAGCTGTTGGGAAGGGGTGAGAGTTGTAAGGGCAAGATGTGCATTTCATCAGGCTTCCACCTGCTTGGTTAGCACCTCTTTTTCACTTGCTCCTGAATGTCGAAGGAAGGGGTAATTTTATTAATCTTTCCATCCGTCCTGGAGCTGGTAGTGTGTTTGAAAACTCCAAGGCATGAGACTTCACAAAAGCATTTCAGGGCCCGAGGAACCTAACAGATCTGCAAGTCCTCGATGTCTTTGTGGGAATGAATAAATTATACATGTGCATTGAACAAATAAAACTGTATGCCCCTCTACAGGTGATCCAGGCTTGCCATTCTTGCCCCAAAGCAATCGAAGTTGTAGTCAATGCCTACGAACACATCAGGTGGAACGTAAAGTGGAAAAGAGCTATCCCAGATGATGACTTAGAGGTAATGGCTTCCTGTGGTTTTCACTATTAAGTAGTTCAAGGCTGCAGTGGAAGTACAGAAAATCCTAATTGAAGAACTGGTTTTGAGAATGCTTATAAGACCTACTCAAACACTCATTTGTCAAATGAAGCAAATGGTTATAAAATGCAGGTGTGAGAATAAGTAAATAGAGGGATCAAGTATGTAGTGTTTGAGAATGTCTTGGGGATTTTTCCATTTAAGGGCAAATTGAACAATTGTATAGAGATGACAGTTTTACTTTCTCCTCAAGAATTTAGATAATTTAATGATAATAATAACAGTAATAGTAATAATAGTAATTGAGATTGCACATGTAATATTTTTACCAGAAGGTTAGTCTTTCGTGTAGAACATTTCATTCCCCTTTCAGGATCTTGAAGCCTTGATGTAGGCAGGAGCCATATTAAAGACCCTTAAGGAGTTCTGAAGAAAGCCAGTAACCAAGCTGAGTTCCCACTCAGCAAATGGACTTTGCTGCCTTTGCAAAGCGGTCCTCCTACCCTCCCTCCCTCCCTCTGAGCCTCCTGTTCTCGGTTGTAGCCGTTTTAGCTTCTGTCTTTCCGTCCAGGGTTGGAGAAGTATCAGGAGCAGAGTGCAAAGTTCATCAGAAGCCAACAGCCTAGAGGCAGTCTTATTCTGCTACTTTTTAACTATTTTACCCTTTAAAAGTTACTTAACCTGCCTTTGTGTCATTAATAGAATAAATATCTGAGTGTATGGGCCACAGAAGGCACGCCAAGTGTATATAATAGCATTTAGATTAATTTCACATTGCTCGTTTTGATATACACTGGCTCAGGCAGTTCACATAAGTATGCTTTATCTCATTTGCTGGCATAGAGTCATGTATCACCATCGTCTCTCTTCTCTCCTTATGTACCATCGCTGCGACCCCATCCCAATTTCATGTTTAATTTTGTCTCACTGTGGGAGACCCTAGAAAGCCGCCATTATGTATAATGTAGGGACTCACTGCCTCATTGTGGGCTTTTACTGATGTAAACTCCAGGGCTTTTCTGCCTTTAACCTGTCTTGCTTTTTCCTTTGCAGAGATACTGGGATTTTTACCACTCTCTCTTCACTGTGTGCAGTAACTCTCCGAGGACTCTCATGCATTTATCGAGATGTGCCATTCGAAGAACATTGCATAACAGATGTCACAGAGCAATTCCTTTGCTTTCCCTCCCATTGTCATTGAAAAAGTACTTGCTTTTAGAGCCAGAGGGAATCATTTATTAAGCCTTATGAGACAGAAGTTCCCAATCCTAGATATTTAAGTGGACTCACCGGGTCGACACAGTTTGCATAAATAAAATGGTACTTGGGTTGATTATAACACTTCAGGGATTTCAAAACACTTGACAAACTCCACGTCATTAATCCTAGGGCATCATGGTGAGGGGAAATAAACAAGAAGTAAAGTTAAGGAATTCTCAAAGACAAGAATGGATCGAGAAGGTACTGACAGCAGAGATAACTAATGTGTATAGTGTTTTTACTTGGTGCCTGATATATTTTTGTAAAATTTTTCATGTATCATCACAATTGAAATGGGACCCAGGTTTTCACACAACCAATCTCATTCTCTCCCTTATCAGTAATAAGTTTACATTATTATTGAGTTGGCAAAATCATAGGCTTTTGTGATTGGCCTCTTAATCTCGGTGTCTTCCCCCACCCTCCCTCCCGCCACCGTTACCACTTAGCAGAGATTATTGTCACTAGTTTGGCAAACTCTGATCCCCACTCTAATCTCTTCAATTCATTTTTTGGTGAAGAGAGCACACGAGCATACTTAAAACAAGGAGATCTTTGAGTTAAATTAGAAACGAAAAGCCCACTCCATTTAATAGTCGAAAAATGGACATTTCAACCTACGCGCATTGAGCCAGAGACTGGAGAAGCAAAGATGAATGTAAAATGAGGACTCTTGCCCTCCAGAATCTCACCACTTAGCAGAGGATCCGGACATACAAGCAGGGAATGACAGGGTCAAATGTCAGGAGCAAGAGTACAGGTGCAGACTCAGTTTTCGCGCTTGCCTTTCAAAGTCATGTTTCCGACCCGAAGTGTGGTTTTCCTTTTAAGCGTGAATATTAAGAGTGAAGGGACGATGTGACGCAGAGAAGCTCCTGCTGCTGTTAGTGTAAATGTATTCACTTTCAGTTTCTCCCAACATCTAGAAACTTTTTATCTTAGTAGGACTCCCTGTTTAGAGTTCCCCTCGGGAAAAATATTGCACACTCAATGGCTCCCATGTATGCGACAAGGAAGTTTAGGAACATGTGTATAAGAAAGTGTGTGAAGGGAAGAACTTAAAGTTGGTTACGTGGCCTCATGGTGTAGTAGACTGACATTTCAGAGCATTTTAGCTGGAAAATGAGGAGCCCTTTGCTACCAACGGCTGGCTACAGAAAGCAAATCGAGAGACTTTTCGAAAATGGTAAAAGTTTGAGAGACTTGGGAAGATATGTGTGCCAGTCAGGCTTGTTGGTGTTTTGCAGAAAGTGAAATACAGTTGATTAACCTCTGGACCTCAGGGTTTAGGAGGCCATGTGCGCTTCACTTTCCTGTTCTTGCTACTCACTTTTAGATAAGCTCATTGTCTCTTAGTGTCGTTTTTTAGAGATTAGAGCAGAAGCAATTAAACACAAACAAATCCATTTGCCAGTTGTGAGCAGGTTGCTTTTTGTGTGTGGTTCTTCATCTTACTTAACTTTAGATGCCTGAGTTTGGGTAGAGATGATGTCACAGATTCCGTCAGCCCACCACCTAGACTGTGCTTGTAAACTTTTCATACTCCCTGTGCCCTGGAGGAAAAGTCGTAGGTAGATACAATGACCTCTCTGGTGTTCTTCAGTTTTATTCAAATATTTTGAGAGGATCTATACATTGTGGAATAGGTTGCTGAATTTGTATAAACTAGTCATATAAAACGTGGTCCTTCAAAAAATGGTTTGCTTGCAGCAGGAAGTGCTGAGGGGAAATGCATGTGGCCCCCACCTTTGGGAATATATGGCCGAAACATCTGTGATGCACTGTCTTTGTCAATAAAACTTAACGCTGAGGACTAGGGGAAAGGATGTTCCTTGCATCAGAAAACATTTCTCAATCTGCTCGCTTGTGCATAAACATTTTATGTTAATTAGCACATAATACATGCCTACTTGTTTTGAATTGTTTACTCGTACATTTAAAAGTTATTTCTTCTCATCTCTGAACTTCTATTTAGAGGACTTAACTAAAGCCCTTGTTTCCTTTCATCTTTGGGAGTTGTTTATTTACCGATAAGACTTTTTTGACTAAAGCGATAGATCTCTGAAGAGCTCTACATGTGTCACTGCTTTCTTTAACACTTGGAAAGAAAAAGAGGGTGAGGAAATGTGCCTGTAAGTGAATAATATTTTCAGAAGTAAAGGGTAAACACAAATAGGAGGCAGGGAGTTGGTGGAGGAACAAGAGTGTTTTAATGATAATAAAGAAAGAAATCACTCTTTCCCGCCTGTCACCAATTTTCTCCCACCTGTCACCATGTCTGTTCTCCTGGGCTTTTCATTTGCCTTCATTCTTCTCATTCACATAACCCAAGGAGCAGCAACAGAGGAAATGATGCCACTTTTGTGACTTCCTGTAAATAGTCATTTAATGAGCTGAAAAAACAAACCTCTTCTCTTTGGTAAGTTACATGTGAGGAAGGATCTTTAATCTGAGGGAAGACCACCCATCCAGCCTTCTCCCCTTCTCAGGATCTAGACACGTTTCTTAATCACGTAGTGCTACATTGCCACTTGGTCCTTCCATCCTGAACCCAGTGGCTTCTAATAAAAAACCCAGCAGTCGAAAGCTGATTGTACAGATAAGAAAAGTAACAAACCATTTGCAGTGGGTTATCAATGCTGGAAAACACAGCTGAGCCTTTTCTTTTTGTTACCCACCGGATTGTGAAGAACTCAAGAAGTTTTAAACTGGCACACTTTCAAAACTTTTTTAAAAAAACTATCTCAATTACTGATTTTCTTTGAAACACAGACACCGTGGCTAGCATCTGGAAGAAATTCATTGTCACTTTCCTTAGGAATATGAACAGACGCATTATGGGTAGATGTTAAGAGTTTTGGCTCTGGCGCCCATCTACCTGGGTTCCTTTTCTAATTCCCAACCTTATTTGATCCATTATCTAGGGATAGGCTTCATGCCTCAGTTTCCTCATTTATAAAATGGAAATAATAATGGGATCTATATAATAAAAGTTGTATATGATTGTTTTGAGGTGTAGAGGAGGAAAAAGTTTTCCTTGACTCTCTTAGGGTCTCAGGTTGGGTTTGAAAAACGGACAAAGATTGTAGGAGAAAAACATACAAGTTTTACAGGACACTGGAACTTTCATAAGGAAATGAGGATCTGAAGAAACAGAACTGAGTATTTTTATGTTAAGTTTGATAAAGAGTGGTCAGTTGTGTAGAAAACATGATAGGTCCTTAAGGAGTGTGAGGGGCAACCGAGCCAGTCCTGTTTGTTAGGATTCTTCTCTGGTGTTCCTTTGTTTTAAAAGATAAAAATGAGTCTTTCCTCCGGGTACACAGAGGACACCTCCCGCAGGAGGGTTTTATGACCTGTTTCAGGAGAGAAAGGGGTGGGGTAGGTCAGAGTGACCTTCTTGCTTCTGTTGTTTTCTCAAACTCCTTTAGGTTAAAATATTCAATATGCCGAAGTATCATACTTTTGGGTGGCATGTCCTAAACCCCATCCGAGGATTAAATTGTTTACACATTAAAGCGCATAGAATAGTAAGCATTTTATGACTATTGTCCTTGTTACTTCCATCATCATTATTATTTAGGGAGAGGCTTCTACCAGTAAGGTGATATATTCTCAGAGTGAAACTATAGCCAAGGTGATACATGGTGGATTTTTCTCAGGTTGGAAAATATTTCTGGAGCTCCTATGGTGCACTTTGCTCAGAGCTGGAATCAGTGGGAGAAACAAGACAAACCGGGTTCTTGACCTTCTTGGGCTTTTTTTTTTTTTTTTTTGAGGTGAGGGATAAATGTTGAACGAACATGGATTTGGACCATTAGCAAACAACCGAATTAATTACTTTAGGAAACTTTGCCCTTTTGTAAATGGGTTTATCGAAGAGGTAATGACTCCTTATACTGTTTCATGAGGGTTATGGAGTCCCTTGAAATTCATCATGTGGACAGAGAGCAGCTGTCTTCACGTTTCCATCTTCAAAGAGGGAAAGAGTAAGAGAGGTTAACTTTGTAGCAGAAGGAATGTAGGTTAGCAGTAAGATTCCTGGAGGGGAGGGTCATTGCACATCAGAGTGACCGAATTAGGAGGGTTGAAGGATTTCTTTCTATTATTCTTTCACTTTCAAGAATCTATTCAATACTATTAAAAGTGTCGTTCTGTGAAATAAGTGGAAGGAAGAGAGGCGTGTTGATGCCAATTCACTGCAAGATTCACCATCAGTGGCACCATGTTTCCATTTGTTTTTACTAAAAAGTAAGAAAAAAGTATACAGTGTTTTTTTTTTTATGAGATACTATCAAACGGAGCTATTTTTCTGTCAGCCTGACATAAAATGGTCGATTGGAATTGTTTTTGAAACCTGTATTTTAGTGATAAATTGACTTCTTTCTATTTTTGGTCATACTTATCACCAAAGCAAAGCAATACATGAAATATGAAAAAGGATCACTTAAGAAACAGTTGTTTTCTTTCCTTTTCTTCCTCTGTCTCTCTTTTTAGCAACACTAAGTGGACTGGTGTGCTCAAAATTCTTCTTTAGTAATTGGTTTTCTCAGATATAGGTATGCCTCAATGATATTGGATAACTGTTATCCAAATATATGCTAATCCAGCCATGGAAATAAAATAATGATGCCGCCTTGTACGTCCTAAATTAAAGACACTGGTGGACTAGTTCTTAGTGCTCATTGAGCATGAAGAATTGACAAAACAGAACTCTCATGGGGAGTTTAAGGATATCTTAGAGGTAGAAGTTAGGTACCAGGAGCCCAGACACTGGCCACGGTCACAAGGGAAGACGTTTACTCACTACCTTATTCCGTATTCAGAGGAAGCTAAATGTCAGTGTTTGGTTGACCAAAAATGGGAACCAGCGGAGGTCAGATAACCTTCGATTCAGAGAGCAAGTCATATGAAAAGAGCTGTACTTCTAACCATAAACTCTCTCCCTTCTGGGTCCTGCCTGGCTGGACAACCTCCACGGGCTGCATCCGCTGAATTCCTGCCTGCCTGGCTTCCTGCTGGGTTCAGCCAATGGCAAGACCACCAGCAGACCGAAGGGCAAGAGGAGATGGAGACCGG